TCTGTATTTTTCTGTACATGTATTTATTACTAATAATCAAAACAGTCCGTTTGCTATCTACCTATCTGCATACGAACATATATTTACTCAAAATATAGTGGTATTAAAACACGCGATTAGTTGACGTGTGTTTTATATATAAAGGTTATGAAGGTATAAAATAAGATTGTAAAATTCCATTCCATTGCACGATTCCGACTGTGTCATAAGCATGTGTTTGTGAATCACCATCAAATAGTAATGATACCAGGTGTTCGCGAAAAGGTGAGCGTATCAAGCCCCTCTAGATCTGTTGACACTCGTCATAAACACGTTTAAAACCACACACACATAAACCCAGTAATTGCAGCATTCATAATAAATCAACCAGATTATAAATATGTTTCCTACGAAAGGTGAGCAAGGTCGTTAATAATATCAAAACATAAAAAGTAAAAGATTATAAAAAAATCCCAAATATATGGGATCTGTTTAACATCCGACACCGACAATTCATTAACTTGCCAAGGGGGTAAAAAGTGACTGACTGACATTGATTTACTTAACAATCATTTTGGTTTGTTTGTTTTGACACGGTGTACCCTGCAAGGCTGTGATACAGGGATGTTCAGAGCGACGACAGGGGCGGGCTGTTGTAGTCGTCGTAATTAAGGTCGCCCACGACACAAGGGGACAGCACCCCAGCCGCAGGGATTACAAACGACACGTATTTGTGACATGTTTCAAGATTTCATATGACAAGATATAAAAGACATTTTCCCTCAGGGTAACCGGGACTTACATACGCTAATGTGAATGAATGGGTGAATTTTGTAACGCGGTAAATCGTAAAGAACAATGAAGAACGAAGCGTGGTTTATTGCACGATAAAACATTGTTCTGTCATGACGTCTCTCTGGAGATTCGAACATGCGCTCGTAAATTGAACGACCTTATTTTTGAGAGGGGAGAGTCTAGTGTGTTTTGTTCTCCAAAGATGTTGCTGGGCAACGTAGATAAACTACATGGCCGAACGATCGCTTCTCAAAGTGGGAGAGATAAGAAAATCGGTATTGGGAGAAAAGCTACAGATGGTCGACGGGGAAATTGTAAGGATATACGTGAAAGAACAAATTTAACCCCCCATGTCTATGAAATGGACTTGTCCGACATTCAGGGAGTCATCATTATTTAAACACGGATTAATATTTTTAAAGCTTGCACTTTTTTACTAACATCCTCAAAAAGGCTGTACGTATGTTGCTATCTCATAAAGGAAATAAACGACTTGTGGTCGATGTTTATCATACAATAAACTGCAGTGTTTTATTGTACGATAAACAACGGCCACGAGTCGTTTATTTCTTAATACCAACGCAGTCAGGGCTGTTCTCGCTGCACAGAAACCTTGCTATTCGGGACGCCCTTAATCCGAAAAAAACGAACACTGCTAGGACTGACTACATCTGTAAAGGAAAACATTTCTCGATGTGATTCTTTAATCCGTAAACTCCATAATCCGGACGATTCCCTGATAGAGAAAGGTTGCACAACTGGCGTTTTAGTTGCTGATCTATTTTGTCCCAGAACCGATTGGTTCTCAGAGGTTAGAATGACAGGCGCATGCTACCGTCTTATTGCTATAGTTCTTTTCATAACTCGCCATATGTGTGAAGCCCATTTCGTGTTCCCAGTCTTGATTTTGCTGGCCTATTGTTAAAAATGGCGTGAAACTATACTCACTCACTAACATTTCTTGAAAGGTCTACTTTAACGATAACGAATCTTTCCTCAGTTGAAATTTATTTCAAAATATGCGAGGCAACTTAGGTCGACTGAGTCTCAACATTGTTTTCATTCCTAACACTCTAACAGTAATTGCAGTGATGGTTTGACTGATGAGGTCGATAAACGTAACTTACCGATTCATTTTACACGGGAATACTTACATGCATATTTGTCTTAGTTTCCTGGCAACGTGCAATAAGTGTATGACATCGACAGTGTCTCGAAGTGCATGATTAGAGTTGCAAACCTGCAAAAACTTAAATGTTCTGATTAAAATGTGAAAAAATAGATACCTCAGTAATGGCGGTCATCACCCTGAGCTGTGCCGAGATTTGGTGTCGGACAAATATATTTTTTAACTGCCGAAGTTGAGACAAACTCCAAACTGAACGCAGTGCCAGACTGCCGACACCGAGGGTAATCGCTACTCTTCTAAAAACGGCGTCTGTAGTAATACGGATAACTACATTGATAGTAATTAGATAAATTATTCCTGATATTTTGTAATGAGTTTATACTCAGTTTACACGTTTTAAATTTGCTTAGATTTTCACTATTTTTGAGGTAGATATCCATTATTTACATACACTTTAGATAACACCGACCTCAAAACCCACCGTGTGATGGTTATCGCACATGTCGACCTGTCTTTGATCGTGATGTATTAAGTGTGCAGCTTGTATTGCACATATTAAACATGTTTGTTTGATGAGTGGGTTTCAAGATCCGTATATATCCATGTGGGCACTGAATAGAAACTGCTGGATAAGCATACTTAAAATGTTGTTGGTTTTGTCTTAACGAGTACCGACTGATAAACATCAGGTTCTGACGTGATCTAATATATATTCATATTCAAAACTTGCATTTTACAGATGGAAAATACTTAACGTTTAAGACAATGTGTCTTGTGCTTATGTATAAACATATCCCTTTACCTTACGTCAACGCCGACGCTGGTCTTTGCCTCCTGTTAATTATAAGGTAGAAAAATGTATGTTCCACGACATGACGTTATGGCCATTTTGCCTTGTCACTGTCGTTATATTTAATGTCATTTTGGTCTACGATGCCCTTTTGTTGGGACTAGATACGCCCATCTTTTCGCGAACACCTGAATCGTCACTATTTGATAGTGATTCGCAATCACATGCTTATGATATAGTCGGAATCGTGCAATGACTGCTTTCACCAGATACTTCTTGTGATTATTTAAATAGATGTGTCGCTTGAAAGGCTTAAGAGAATATACCACCGATTCGGTCGTGATTATTTATTTATTTGTAAACAAGTGACTGCTGTTGTGTATATATGGGAACCCTAACGTTATCAATTGTTTTGCTAAATAGTTTCTGTGCCTTCATTAAACGTCACATGTTTCTAGGCAAATGGCACATGTGTGTATATCCACCAGTATCGCCACCTGTGAGGGCGTAGGTTTTGGCATAAATTCTTAGAACTCGGGAAATATGGGAAAATGCTACACCGAAACGATGTTTGCAAAGTACCTCTCGCAGAGGAATTGGCGTTTCACATCCCTCGTGGAAAGTTGGCCTGCCGTACACAAACACAGGGGTGAGTAAGATGTGTATGGAGCTACACTACCTGATATGAACAAACGTTGTCTCCCCATTCCTGATCATGAAAACCTCATACATCCATGCTGTCAGCAGTTGGTAAATTCTATCAGGTTTTGTTTAAAATTGTCAGAGCCTGTTTGATGACACAGTTGAACACCGTTGTCTCGAACCCGGATGTGTCGAATGTCCGGTTGTGTCGAGTCCAGGTTGAGGCGTTTGATCGAAAGCGTGCGCTTAATCTTGACAACGCACTATTCAGTGCTTGTGTATGTGTTTGTTTATACTTTCGACGTACATATATTTATGATTGATAGTGCCAGCGTTTGGTACCGTTAAGAGGAGTTACCGTGAAGACACGTCCCACGACATTCGTCACCACTCGCCCCTTTCCGTGACCGGCATGAAGACTCGACCTTGAAGTACTTTGAGATATTTCTTTACATGGATAGATAGGTATCTAAAAGTATGCCAACGTCATGTTCACAGTTGTTTGCGGGGGAGGGGAGCCAACTTGATAAAAGGACCACGAGAGAAACTCGAGTCACCATTCGGTACATGTCCCGGAATAAGTCGAGTGCCCACGAATGAAGTTGATGTCATATAGTAAAACACCCGGGTAGAATAAGTCTTCAGAAACCCATGCTTGTCTTCCCGTGAGAGTCGGGATAGAATAGGTCTTCAGCAACCCATGCTTGTCTTCCCGTGAGGGTCGGGGTAGAATAGATCTTCAGCAACCAATGCGTTTTTCCTCTTGCACCATAAATCATGATACAGAGTTGCATCCCAAAGCTGTGTGACCATGAGTTCATTAAGAGCTTTGGGGGTCAGCCAAACCTACTGGTTTCATCTGTGGTAAACATCTGCGACCTCCATCACTTTGCACATGCTTCTCACGTGTATCTCAAACCCCATGTTTTTACTGAAATACTGAGCAAAATTTCAAAACGGCGTTAAGCCAAATCACATTTCCATTTCTTAAAACTAGTTTCACAACATTCAAATTATCACGGGTTTTTTGTACACCAGAGATATTTGCCAGGTTATTGCATGGAAGAAGAGTCGAGACAACAGCAGGAGTACTTTCAATGGCAGGCGGTCATCAAGTGCGTTCTCTGTCTGCTCCTTTGGACTAATCAGCGCAGCATCCCTTGATAATGAAGTACAACCACTTTCAAATTCGTTGGGAAAATGGACACATTTTCAAGTATATAAGATACATCTGAGATTAGTGTTCAAAAACATCTTATTCACACTACTTTAAATGAACAAACAAATAAGTATTATGAAAAGGCTGCAAGACAAAAGCCTGTTGGTGTTCATTTATTTAATTGCTTCTCGGCTAACAGCGAAAATACATTGGAGTTATCATTTTCCTTTACAACGCACGACTGTGCCAAAGCGTAAATTTCATTTAGGCCTGGACATTTGTCAACAATATTGGTATATTAGTATTGCTGAGATGTAGTGAAGGCAGCCATTAACATCGCAAGCTCGTTCTTCACTGCTTTTACTGCTCTCACCACCGAGCTGAGATTCTGGTGATCAGATAAGAACACGCCCCCCACTGCTTCATTGATGGTCGAGCAGGTTCTTTGTGGCTCAGAAACAAACATCATATAAGTGCATGTCGGTATGCACCGCCACTTGTTAGCGCTTCGGCTCAGCTGGTTGGCACGTTCGTTTAACTCCGTGTACAGATAGCGCTGATCAATCCGCACTGTCAATGTGACCTGTCATATTTCTCGGACAATAATTCAACGACTGATCAAAGTGAGTATTTTTGCTGAATTATTGTTCAATACATTTTCTTCATCATATGTGCATGCAAAGATATATGTTGAATCGTCTATTTTACGAAGATAATTATCATCTCTAAATAAATTTGTGTTTTTATAATTTGTTTTTGTCGAGTTGACCATTGTTATCTTTATATCCGAATGTGTCTCATCAAATGCATGTTCAGCGTATGCATTACGTCATATAGTTTAATGTGTTGAGTGTGCATGAGTGAATGCACAAACAAATCCCCCGTGAAGATCCGGGTTAGAATAGATCTTCAACAACCCATGCTTGCTGTAAGGGGCGACTCTGATTGGCGTAAGAGGAGACTAACGGAATCGGGTGGTCATGGCATGTCCTCGCATTCCAATTGGGTGGATCGATTCTTATGATGTCAATGACTGGATTGTCTGGTCCAAACTCGATTATTTACAGACCGCTGTCATACAGCTGAACTATTGATGAATTCGGCGTTAAACAACAAACAAACAAACATATACAAATACTAATGGCTACGTAAATAAAAAAACACACAAAATTATGTAAAGATTCATATTAACCAGAGATGATGTTGTGGACGTCTTTCATAACACACCAAACCTACTTCCTTTACATGTACGTCTACTGTACTGTTATTTACGCCAAGGTAAGTACTCCGTCCTTCGCAATACCAGAAAAACTTGCTACGTCCAAGTTTCTGCCAAGATGACAAGATAGACACATTTTTTATGGATAACAATTTCTTTAATACTGTGAAAAGCGACGTTTCGGTATAGATCCTTATACCGTTGTCAAGCAAGACTGAATGGGGGACATAGTGCAGAATATATATAGTAGGTGGGGGATTAACAGTAGAGGATTAACAGTAACAACAATAGTAATAATAATAATAATAATAATAGGGTCATGAAGCCATTCTGCACTATGTCCCCCATTCAGTCTTGCTTGACAACGGTATAAGGATCTATACCGAAACGTCGCTTTTCACAGTATTAAAGAAGTTGTTATCCATAAAAAATGTGTCTATCTTGTCATCCGTCAACTTCTAAGTAATGTCTATCAAACAATTTAAGATGACATTATACATTGTCCGAAACAAAATATTTGAAGTTCAGGGGACAGCGACTGACCACAATTGATAAATGTATGCCCCAGGAGTATTTTCACTCAGTAACCTTTTGGGAAATATGAAATAGACTGTCTGAAGAAAGTGTTGAAAAGATTTGTTTCAACTTGAAAACTAGATGAAAACCATTCAGAAAGATGAAAAAAGTCGGTCTCAGCAAGAGCAGGTCATGTCCGTCGTGACCGGTACAGTCGGGGAATGTATATGAGAAATACCATCTCGGACAACTCCTTGTAGATAACGTGATGTCAAATCATCATATACTGAAACAAATTAGAAAGGTAACGTTATCTTCGTTCCATTTCACAACGTGTTCGTCGGACGTGGTATCACTGCTTGACCTGTGAGCTCCGTAGAGTAGAGTTACAAATATGTTCCTCTGGCGGCTAGCTAGTCGATGGATGCCAAAGAACAGAACTTTTAGACTGAAACATGAACAGAGACGTAAAAGCGTTAAAATCCCAGGGGCATGCTTGTATCTCTGCAAAAAAAGTGACAATTTCGAGAGTGAATGAGTTGGGTTTTACGCCGCACTGAACAGCATTTCAGTTATATCATGGCGCAGGTCAGAGACGTGTTCAACTTTGTTAAAACTGATGAAAATTGGTATGGTGCTGAAAAATCAGGAAACATGATCAATACGAATTCAGGGTTTGAACTAACGAGGGCGGATCCTGGCATGATAAAGGGATGTCACCCCCTATAGCGAATTCCGATACCATGTTTTCACGGAACAAGTGATTAAATGTGTATCTCGTCAGAAACGTTTGTAACTCAAAAAGGAACAGCAAGAATGTTTCATTACAATAAACTGCCGGCCAAAAGAAAGTAAACACCGAGGTTTTATGGAAGCTTAAAATGAAACAAACAAGAAATGGTCTTTCAGTGGTTAGGTATTTGATACGGGTATCATAGGCGATACTACACGCAGCCAATCAATGAGTATCTCACCACAGGTGACGTGCACATGACGTTGCAAAGAACATGGCGGCATTCAGTGTGAATCTTTACGTGTATAGATTCTATTCCCCGGCGGTTTATGTACAACAAGCGTTTCTATGTACTGTGGTGTCGCTTTATATACCTACTAAATATGTATTAAATGATAAAACAATAAACATCTATTACTTCACATATGGGCATCATTGTTATTCACTCTTCAAGAAAAAGAAACGCATAGGTAGATTTTGTACATATCAAAGTCGATATATATTTAATTTAATATCATAGATACAAATATGAAATTAGTGAGCTTGATAGTCACATGTTGTTGTACAAAGGCATTGAAAACTGTTCATTGTCATGTCACATAAGGCCACAAGGTTGGGCTGAACTCAGTATTTCGTGTGACCGCCCCGGGCAGCAATCACGACTCTGCATCTCCTCGGCACTGACTGGATAAGTGTATGAATTCTGTCCTGCGGAATTCTGCGCCATTCTGCTTGTAACGCGTAGGCCAGTTGTGTGAGTGCCTGTGGCGTGTTCTGACGTTGACGTACACGTCGATCGAGTACATCCCAGAGGTGTTCGATTGGGTTGAAATCTGGAGATCTCGATGGCCAGGGCAAAACGTTGATGTTGGCATTATGGAGGTAGTCTACAATGACACGAGCTGTGTTCGGTGTAGCATTGTCCTGTTGAAACGGATCCCTCTGGCGGTCAATGATTGGAAGAAGGTGAGATTGAAGAATTTGATTCATGTAGCAATTTGTTGTCAAATGTCCCAGAAGCTGTAGGATATGCACACACACACACACACGCACGCACGCACACACACACACACACACACACACACACACACACACACACACACACACACACACACACACACACACACACACACACACACACACACACACACACACAATGACACTACCGCCACCGAAATTGTCGAGTTCACGTACACAATGTGGGGCAAAACGGACATTTCGACGACGATAATCACGTTGTCTTCCATCTCGCCGGTGAAGAAGAAATCGTGATTCATCGCTAAACCAAACTCGTCTCCAATTTCTAAAATTCGAAGGCTGTAACGTATGGCACCAACGCAAGCTTTGCTGTCAAAGGATCTGTTGCAACACATGGACCATAACTGGTCTTCTAAGTCGGATTCCACCCTCGTGAAGATAGTTCCTGACAGTCTGGTCCGATATGCTCCTCAAACCAAGGATTCGTCCTGCAGTCTCAGCAGCTGTGGCATTGCGATGACTTTTGAACATCGAATGTAGCGATTCTGTGCAGGGGTAGTAACTCTTGGTCGGCAGGTTCTCGGGTGGTCTGCTGTGGATTTGAACTCTGTATATCGGTCACGAAGGCGGCAAATGGTGCTGTGGTGGACGTTGAAGTGGCGTGCAACAGAAGACTGCGATTCCCCTCTTTGGATACGTTCTATGGCGATGTGCCAATCGTCACCGCTGAGCTGACAATTGAATGACAAATTATTGGCTTATGCTTGCCTTTGTATAGCCACTACCACGATTTACAAATGCTATAACTTGCACGTGCATTCTGCTTTACTGTTTTCCTCCATGACATTTTTTAACAAGTGTGAAAACAATGCCGTTTAAGACATTGCAAATCGACAATGGCTGCGTTTTGACGCACCGTTTGTCGAATATCAGGCCACCAACATTTTCCAATATCAGAAATCCAATTTATATACGACTTTTTTGGTGTAGTCAGATTCAATGAACTACATACTACCTGTGCGTTTCTTGTTTTGAAGAGTATAAAAGTGACACAATATTTGTTTCGTATTTAAAATAATAACGACATTTTAAATTTAAATCTAAACAGACCCAACAGTCTATTGATCAATATGCCGCCGTTTAGCTCAGACAATAGATCAACTGTCCCCAAATATCTGCTAGATCTGTTTAAAACCAACTTATATATTCAATTTTCATTTCATTGCATGAAGTTACAACTGACTACTTTGTTTCTCCAGCTGCCGTTCACAACTATTTGACTGGGAACGCTGAGTTCTGTTTGTGATTTCAACGACGTCTCTCCTCACTGGCAAGTTTCAAAGGGATCTCTAGAGTGCATGTTTAAGTAAACACATTAATGTATTTTCCCATTGCCACCGGTACATATGGGAGCGTGGAAGGGGCACGCTAAAAGTAAGGATATAATAGCTACCAGATAATAATCATATTAAGGCAAAACGATATCATATCTGCACGTCGCGGCTTAACAGCCGGGAGCCACGACTAATAACAAGCCACAAGCTAATAAATGGATAGAGCGACTTCATAAACGGACGCCACAACTTAAAAAAATGGACGCCCCCTATCAAACGTAGACCACGAAATGATAATCTTTAGCATCACTTTCTCAAACGATGACCACGAAATGATACGCCTTGTCATCCCTCTATCACACCAAGACCACGAGATGATAAGCCCTGCCATCCCTCTATCACACCAAGACCACGAAATGATACGCCTTGTCATCCCTCTATCAAACCAAGACCATGAGATGATAAGCCCTGTCATCCCTCTATCACACCAAGACCACGAAATGATACGCCTTGTCATCCCTCTATCAAACCAAGACCATGAGATGATAAGCCCTGTCATCCCTCTATCACACCAAGACCACGAAATGATACGCCTTGTCATCCCTCTATCAAACCAAGACCACGAAATGATAAGCCTTGTCATCCCTCTATCACACCAAGGCCACGAAATGATAATCTCTGGGCATCCCTCTATCAAGCCATGGCCACGAAATGATGAAGTCTTGGCTTCCCTCTATCAAACTATGACCGCGAAATGATAATCTTTGGCATCCCTCTTTCAAACCAAGACCGCAAAATATTTAGCCTTAGCATGCCTCTATCAAACCATGGCCACGAATTGAT